ACGGTCATCCTCCAAGCTTCACCTACACGCACTCGGGAGGCAGTCGACGCGAGTTTCGCCCTCGTTAAAACTCATCAGTGGTTAATATTTACCGAAGAGTGTCGGAGAGTTTAACTTCGAATCCATCACATAGGATGTGTATATATTCCCACTGTGATAACCAGCTCACACAAGCTGAACAGCATGGTTCAATAATGTTTTTCAGGTATCGTATTCAGTGCTGGTCTGCCAGTTCGTTTCGACTCAACATCAACGAATGAAGACTATTGGTCAACTCCAATCGAAGGCCTCACATCAAATCAGATTCGAGTTGATTTGTGACAACTGAATCTCTGTGGGTTGGTAATTTAGTTCAGTAAATGTAAATTCCGTTATATTGAAGTGAAGTAAGCCGTTGAGCGTCATTCAGATTAGTCCCGGTGGATAATACTTTGAATTATTGATCTATCGTGCCTTGGTTAGTATTGAAATGAATGTGGTGAACATACATTGCCAATGGTTCTTAACGGAGGTGAACGTCTTTCTGCTGTGAGGAATTTACCATTACACAATACAACAAATCGATTTATTTCGAATATCGGACTTCCGGCCTCTAATACAACTTCAGAATAAAAAAGCGTCAGGAAAGTGAGCGATAGCAACTGAATTACGCTAAGTACGGTATCTGATGGATCTCCTCGACGTGCGATGTTCACCTAGACAAGTAAAATGGTTGAAAGAAAACTAAAGACGATCAGATCAGGCAATCCGGCACTAAAAATAAGAAAATCTCGATCACGTGACTTAGAATTTTTTGCTTGGGGATATCGTGACCCACCTATTAAGCGGTTAGAGACAATGCATGATACTTCTGAGTATCGTAAACAATGACATTTTTTATATCTGTATGCCCCTGGGGATAAGGAAAAGTCACTGAAGTGGAACAGGTTGACTGTAAATGTAACAAAACAATTTACAGGGTTAACGGATGAAATACGGATCAATTAACATGAAACTTGTTATTACTGGTGAGGTCGATAGCGAGGCCGACCAGTCACGTGACACCCGATACGAGCGAGTTGCGGTACGATTTGAACTCTCATCACTGCACATTCGTGCATCTACTTACAATCTTTGCGCATCTACTGACATCGTTGTCTGCCTACTGTAGTCCTTTGGTCAGTTCAGTTCCTGATTGGACGACCGAATATACATAGCTCAAAGGCAACAAAAAATGATTGCACGTTGCAATTCAAATTGAATCGTTTTAACAAATGCTTTGAATCGCTTGATCCGGAATATGCCTGAACGACATATTCGGTCCCGAGGGACAGTTTTTGTTCGCAGGTGACGAAAATATCCGTTTCGTGACAAATAAGGATTGTATTAATCGCTGCTGAGTTTACATGATGAATTCGTCGTACAAGTGGGGCGTGAACTGAAAAGCTGGGAAGCACGGGCTAGTTGTTTCGACCTGGTTGGGTCGCATCAGCTTTGCGAATCAATTGATCCAACAGAAGAGTATGCTAACTAGCATGCTTAAGTTTTGTCTGTGAGGTCCCGAATTCGATCCCTAGTTGGGTCGAAGGAATCGCTCTGCTGATAACATCCAACCAGGTCGAAATAGCTGTCCAGTGCTTCCCAGCGTTTCCGCTCACGCTTCATTTACAAGACGAATTCATCATCATTAAAAATCACCAGATATCATTATGGAAGGGTGAGTGACCAGGAGAAAGGAGTTCATGGTTAAATCTACCTTGCACAATATTGATAACAGTTTTCGTCAACCGAAACAAATCTTTATAGGACCCTTTTTCTTACTGTTCGGGGTCAATCTATGTTGAAACTGAATTTGAAAATTATCTATAATTTATTCCATATTGTCACTGTATGATAAATGAAAGTGGAAAAAGCGAACACAATTACAGGTTCCCATGTGTTGTAGCTTACTTAACTACAGACACATCAAGTTCTGACTCATCGCATAGATGATGAATAATCTCATTCTTTAAGCATTGACGGGTACTCATTCACCCACGTACCTAATGTATCTCACTTCCCCCATATGAAAGGATGATCTTTATCATTTCTTGCTCCTTTTCAATGCTTCAGTAGTTGACTAGGCATAGATTTTCATCAATATTATTTTAATTCCTTACTTTATTAAATATACAAAGATATACAGTTTTTTTTAATGAAGATGTGATCGATTGAAGTTTACCTTGGGATAAACTGAAGTAAGTAATTAGGGCAGCGGTTGTGATAGAATTCAAACACACTACGCCCTCGTCCTTGTTAGAGTGACGTGTATCACCACCACCAATAACAAAAAAATGCGGTGACAAAAACCCGGCAGACATAAGATTAACTGGTGTAATATAGATGCGAAGATTGAGAAATCTCCCGATCTGTGTAACTTTGCCTAATGAATTCCCGTGCTAAACCATATTCGTTTTCCCCCAACTCTGAGAAAGGTTGCTTTAATTGCGAGAGTCTATTATTCAGTGATTTCTGTATATCTGTCGTGACTCTATTGACACTATTATTCCCTTCTGATTCGTTTGCCGTTTGCCTGTCCCAGTCGTCCGAGGAGTTCCGACAAATCGCAGCTCGCCTGTACGAGAAACCGAATTCGATCGAGGAGTTGACCGAGATGCGTGAGTGGATTACCACAATCCCAGACCGACTGGAAGAACGTCAGGAAGGTATTGACAAAGCCATGTCCGATTACGAACTCATCGATGCATTCTTCTACAATCTGTCCGCGGACGATTTCAATGCCAAATGGGTCACAATCGGATGGCCACACAAGATTCGTCAAATGATTTCACAAGTGGAAAAAACGCTCGAGGAGGACGAGGAACGATTCCGCAAACTCCAAGTGTCCGAGTCTGCTGCGTTCAGTGACAAGATTGATACATTAACGGTAGGCTGGGATGAGTGTACACGTGTTTTGTTTGTTCTCGTTCATTTAATACCATACGCACAACTGGAATTTAGGGTGACTGTAACTTCTAGTTTCGTGCATTTGAGTTTTCTTAGTTACATTTTTGTAGCCAACATGACCACAATTATGAACAAATTCACTCCCGACTTGACCTTGGTATTCGCAAATTGTTGAAAACTGAGTCTAATGTAATGGTGGTCATGAAGTATTGTTTATCTAACAAAACCTGTGGTACTCATCTCGGACCCTGAACCTTTATTCTATCTGGAATGTTATACACAGATTGACCGCAAAATTTGACAAAGAACAACGGATAAATAAATAAATATTGACGGGGAGTACTAAGGGATCCTTCTTCAAACTGTCCCAACTGACAATCGTTGGACTGATGGAGGGTTATAACTCGATTGGAAATTTTAACAACCTGACTACTTTTAAGATTTCTAGATATTCTATCATTTTTTGCAGAGATATAAATGAAAGTGAGAAAACGAGTCGGTGAGCGAACAATTTTTTTCGGATATCATACAGTGAAAAAAAATTATTAAATAACGATAGCCATTGGCTCATTTCAGGGTCAATATTCGGAGGTAGGCAGTGATGGGTGTGTGTCAGTTTGTGTGTGTGTGTGGATGGGTGGGTCGGAGGGAGTTTAATGTGACCTTTAACCACTTGGGTCAAGTGACACGCCATGTTCCGTCTTGGTTTTCACACACGGCCAAGGCAATTGGAGTGCCTGCACCAAACGCTTTTGGGCACACAGATATGTAAGAGCATGACTGCGAATATCCGAAAAAAATTATTCGCTCACCGACTCGTTTTCTCAATGCTATTATGGGAATATTCAAGCATATAAATGAAAGTTATACTAACTTCCCACAAAAAATCATTCGGAAAACTCACATCCTTTCTATTTGGCGTCCCAAAACAGAAATTGTTCGTGCCACTTTTAGACTGAAATCAGACTGATATTACGAGATTACCACGTCAATGAATTTCCGACAAATTCTTGGTCCCGAACATTATGGAATAAAATCCATCGCGTCCGATCTGTTATTACAAACACAGCTAAGTGTCTTCAACGTCATTCACATGTTAAAACAAAAAGAATAATACAACAGCACTCCAGAAATTTGATTGATGCGTACAAGTGATTATATATGCAAACACTAACGAAATGAACCGGGTTTTACTAGTTGACCTCAAACTTCCCAGTTAAGATTACACAAAACCTACCAAGTGTCCAACCTCGTATGTTCCTCGACTGTAATCCTGATGTTATTGGTTTTCTTTTACAAACAAATACAATCCAATAGATGATGGTCGCCTCGATGGCCTCGTTCACAGAGATTAGCAAAGCGCAAGAAGTGGCGAACGAGGTGAGACGCATTTACAAACAACTACTGGACGCCCAATCAATGGCCGGAACATTTAACAACCGGGAACGACTGTTTGGTATGCCGAGCACAAATGTAAGTGACCGGATTGGGCACTCGTCCAGTTTCTTTTGTATTTGATCAATAACACCTGCTCTATGAGTTGTGCTTGCGTCTATATTAAAATGATTTAGGACATTAAATTCAGAGAGAATGTTCATAAACATTTGGAGAAAACATCCAGAGGAGTCTTGATTGATATTTTAAAATAGAGAAGGTGCTGAACAGGATCAAAAAGGCAACATATTTTGTCCCATTTGGAAAGAATTATCAAACCCACTATTATGTTCTTGGTTGGATGTACGATCGATACGAACGCCTCTTGCCTAGCCCCAAACAATGAGAGAGAACACCAGTGGAGGACATCAGTCAGAATTTACCGTATTTATCATGACGCGATACGCAAATAGAAGTGGGTAANTGGGTGTACAAGAACGACTTGGTGATGCGCCGATCAGATCGCTTCTTTGACACTTCGATTGGTCGATCGGATGACAGTCCTCTAATTAGTCTTAGTCATCCATTTCGGAATCGACTGGTCTTGGGCGTCGCGAGTGCACTTGCGATGTGACATGGATCCGTGCGCGGCTTTACGGGTTCAATGCGGTCCGTCCTAATACCCACAGAGGGAAGAAAATGAGCGGTTGTTCTGATACAAGCACATTCGACCTGGTTGATAGGAAACTAAATCCAAGAAGGCGTCTTTGTTTAAAACAAGCTCCCAAGGGAAAAATGATTGGTCCCAGTTTCACAATTTTGTGTGAAGCATGTAATTCCACAATCGGATTCTTTGTAGGCAGCGCAAAGGAAATGCAAACTAAAACTCACCTGTTTCTATCTTATGAAGTTTCATCAGGAGTGTGAATCCATCGGTCCAATTGAGGATCGAACTCGAAATCCGACTGATGTAATGTAGACATCATATCTATTTAATCATCGGGCAAAGTTTTACATCATCTATTCATGCACATCCAACCCAAATATCTGCAAGTTTATCGTTGGTAATGAACCTCACTCATCATGGTACTAGCCCCCCCCCACCTCACGAATGAAGTTAATAAATATTTTCTCTCTAATGGATGAAGTAATTTGATCGATAGCGTGATTATGCACAATTAAAGTACTTTTCGCGGAGAATTATCGGCATGACCCATCAGGTGATCAAGGAATGCACACAAAGACTTTCGATTTCAGTTTTTACAACCATTAACCATGTACTTTCGTGAGCCGGTTTTGGTTGCTGTCTTTTGACCGCCCATTGGGATAAAAAAGGGCAGATTGAATATTGGAATACTGAGCCAACGCTGAGTCAAAGTCAAGATAGAGAATTTACGTCAACTGAAGTGACACGAATAATGAGTAGATGAATGATGGCCACTGTTCACTAGACTCAGACTAATAAATGTGGTGGAAATGTTTGTGAAAACCAACAAAGAGCACTGGACAGCTGTTTCGTCCTGTTTGGGACTCGTCAGCAGTGCGTACTTTTTGTGTCCCTATCAGGACTCAAACCGCGATCAGTCGGGTCGGGACTTCAAACAGCGGGGAATTAACGATCTCCCAAGGAGTGAAAACCACAGCGAAGACCATCAAGAGTGCCTGGTGCCTCAGAACAATCGAATGAGCTAATCCAAGCTTGATACTCTAAACTAATAAATTTCTTTTTACTTCATTCTTTATTTACTGAGCATACAAATGTACAGTCAACATACAGGAAACGGGGTGGCGGTCAAATAAAGGCTGCCTGGGAAGACGGGCGATAGTGGAGCGGTATGAACCCGGAATTCCCAGGTCACAAGTTGGTGACCTAACCAGTTGGCCACCACCGCCCATATATCACTTAGAGTCTCAAACCATCGGTTACCATAATCTCAGGGTTCCCATTCAGGATACGTTGTGACCCAGTGTCCTAGTTAGGGGTTTCATACTATTATGCCAGGTCTTAGTTTGATCACCCTTGAACTTCTTCCAACCGCTACCAGCCTCGGCAAACATTGTTCGCCATTGCAACCTGTTTGGTGACATGCGTGAAAACACGCCCCAACCGATGTGGATGTGGAACACTTGTTTCAGTAGACGACCGCGATTACCTAAAACTCTGCACCTAACCTCAGCATTGCTTGTCCGGTTTCCCCCACCAGACTCATGCAGTGCGGTGTAGACAGCGATATTCGAACACCGACAATCTATTTTTATGCTGTTCCCGTAATGGCCAAATCTCTCCACCCCAGAACAGGACTGGCCGAGCTGCTGTAGCACACGCTCGATCCTTCACAGACAGACGGATGTCACAATGATTCGATGATGTATAAATGGTCCAGTATGCATTTATTACAGATTACATTACAAGTACACTATCGTTTATAAACTTCAAAGACGAATGTTTTTCCTGGACACAAAACAAATTCACTCAGAAATAACATTTGTTAACTTAACAAATATTGACTATGTGTATAATAAATACATGCACCGGAGAAAATGTAATTTATAAACCTATGTTTTGCCAAGGGTCGACACAAATGTAAACATGAAATATGCGTGATTGGAAAGCGTCTAATACATAAGAACTTTCAAGTACCGTGTAATCCGATAAACTTCGCTTTAACGTTGTCAACGCACGCCTACTTTGATTAAATGCTTCCTTGGAAGTTTTGCACTCGATTCCATTCGTTATTGAGTTTCTGGCCTTAAAATCTGATTCATCCAATTAAGTATTCTGCTGATCGAATCAGATCTATGAAACACAAAATTCTAAAGACTGTTGAAGATTACTGTGATCATATGGTTATTTTTGGCACTGTTTATCAGCCATTGAAGAAAAAGTAACATAGAAAACAGAGAAGTTTACTTTTGATATCATCACAGTTGTTCATATTGGACAATTTTTCTTTGCTTTCCACTTTAGTATGAAAAAATCCCACGTCTCATGAAAGACTTTGAACCGTTCAAAAATCTTTGGCTTAGTGCGTCTGAATGGCTCAAGACACAGGAAGCGGTAATGAACGATCCGCTCACATCGATCGATGCAGATCAGGTGGAAAAATTGGTCGTGGACTGTTACAAGACAATGCACAAATCTGTTCGTATTTTCCACGAATTACCAGGCGTACAGGAGGTGGCTAATCAGATCAAAATGGCCATTGAAGAGTTCAAACCGTTTATCCCACTTATTCAAGGTTTGCGCAACCCCGGGATGCGTAAACGACATTGGGAACAGTTGAGCGAGGAGCTTGGTGTCAGCATTGTGCCTAAATCCACACTCACGTTTGCCAAGTGTTTAGAAATGCGATTACAGGTCAGTTTTGCTGTGTTTGATCCTTTTTCATCTGGATAATTTGCCTTAAATCAAATTTGACTCACTATTGCCCGTAACTGGCGGAGGTGTGAAAGACTAGAGTAGTTGAGAAGATGCATTGAAGTCACTGAAATAATGTTTGATTGAATTTTATTGAAAGGATCACTTTATTCTCATTTCTCTTCTTCGGGAATTGCGTAAGGGATGGCGGATGTGTGGATGACGAGACTCCCTAACACTTAATCAAAGCTAGATTACCGTCTGCTAATCTGCGGCATCTCTGTTGCCAGGGCGACATATTCTTTTCACTGAAAGGGCTTGTGTATTGCGCAACGGTACGCGCCGTGTTGCTCTTTGGCTGCAAAACNGACCTTTCCGAGCAGATCATGTCCAACGACTGTTCGTCTTCGACAACCGTTGTCTGCGCAACATCGCCCGCGAGCATCGCGTGAATAACGATGAAGTCACATGACATGTGCTAGAATCAGATAGTCTTCCTTTGAGCAAAATAATTTCACAGCATCATCCTAGGGGGCTAGGGCACGTCCTACGAATGCCTGTGCACCGTCTGCCACACCGTGCACTATTCGCAGATATTAGTCCAGACTGGAAGAAACAGAGAGTGGGTCAGGGTATGTCGTGGCGAGCGGGTTAAATAGGTTGTGCTCGGAACTGGCTTCCGTTGGGGTTTCCCAGCTGGGGTCCCAAAGATTCAGTCAGTCCTTGGATGAAGACACTGCGGGATATGGCATCGAACCCCTAGTCCATGGTTGGATGTATTCTTTCCTGTGTTTGATATCGAAAATAAACAAAAGCGAAAATAAACTCAAAAACGGCGTACGGTTTCCCCCTTTCTGTTCCTATATTTTGCGTTCCATCGATGATTATTTTGGCACCGTATCTGGTAAACATTGGTGGATATATATATGTTTATCTATACATATATATATATATCTTCCAGGGTACAATGGTATAGCATTTTTAAGTTTTGGCAAATCTGAACGAGAAGTTACCCCTCCCCAACCTCTAAATCTTTAAAATTGTTCATCCAAGCTTTACAACACAGGATGTACTTAATAGATTACAAAAGAAATCAGTATTCCATCTGCAAATTTATGTGAATTTGTTTTAATCAAAGAAGATACAAATTATGGATCATAAGTGAAGCACAGAATAACAATAGCATTTGTAGGCTGGAATCTCCCCTCACCGGGACTCCGGAAAAAGGCTACAGAAGTGGTGGCTCATTTGTTAAAGAAGATCCGTGAGATTAAATAGCATATACAAAAGAATTGTATTGATTATACAGGTGTCCACTAATGGCCTGCTTGTATTTTTGACGTCATACAGTTTCTGTTTGGACCGCACAACTTCTAACTGGTCGGTACGATTGGCCTGTGTTTCGTTGCCCAAAAACTGTAACGTGTTCGGTGTTATCTCGTCGGCTAGGAGTACCACAATTTGTTTCAATGAACACCAATTTACTATGGATAATCAAACTTGGACGCGGTTATTTTTTTGTGATAAAGTTAGAGGACGGAAATGAAAGAAATGACTCTAAGATAATAATTCACCTTCGAAAATGTGGGATTTTTATGCGTATATCCAGTGAACATGCGACAGCATGCTCGGCAACTCGTAGTATTTACCCTATAATGTTACCCCTGTAAGGAAAGCGTATCATTTTGATCAACTAACGTTTTTCAAAGCATTGAAAATATAGCTGTCCGTCTGGCAAAACCAACTCCATTTTCTGCACGGCAGAGGCATATCAAGGCAGGCAAAAAAGGTATTCCAGCTTTTCAAAATACAAAATGTAAATTGACGATAAAACATTTTTCAAACATATCAGTGCGTATGTAAATCATCACTGGATCCAATGAGAATCTATCGACCCGTCTGGGGATCGAACCCTGGACCTCACAAGTAGAACGCAAGCACACTATCCAGTCGGACACCGGGCAGCTGATCACTCAGTTTCTCATTTTGAACTATACACAATATAACACAAACTATCTTTGTAAGCTTGTTGCGGGTAACTGATTGCCTTAAATGGTGCAAAACTCATCCGTGGATCGATGGCTATCCGTGACAAATACCCGCAGATAATATGAAATACAAATAGTTGAACGCAAGCCATATTAACCAGGTCCATGTTAAATGAGAGACGTTTAAATAATATGACAGGGATGATGCGGTGGGATTGTTTTAGTGGAAGTTTTCAAAACTAATACCAAAGCTAACCGTTTACTTGGTTTATAGCATGATAAAAACTGAGTCACCCTTACTGCACTATCTACAATGNCGTTTGGCTATATCATGAAGTCTGTTCTGTTAGAAGAATTACCATGCCTCCATAACTAAACGAGAACTTTCACACTTGTATCGATCGTTTCACGTTTGAATTCCGAGGCGGACACAAGCATACCAAATTCGGATTTGTCGAGCAAAACATATAAGGAACTTTAAACTAAAAATGATTTACAACCTATTGTATTTGCGTATGCTTAGAAATTCGGCACAACAGTACAGAATATGCGATGATGTAACATCTGGGGTAAATTACAAGCTTTATTTTCATATTTTATCCTACAATTTGTCACTTCTCATCTTTACAGGATCACATTGAGGTTATTTCAAAAGTAGCCGAGGTTGCCGGAAAAGAATATTCCATTGAAAGTGCTTTGAACAAAATGGTGGCCGAATGGCAACCGATCAACTTCGAAGTTATGCCGTACAAAGACACGGGTACGTGTATCATCAAAGTGGGTGAGGAGGTCAATCAACTTCTGGACGATCATGTGGTCATGACACAAGCCATGAATTTCTCCCCGTACAAAAAACCATTTGAAGAACGAATCACTCAGTGGGAGGCAAAACTACACACTGCTCAAGATGTACTGGACGAATGGATCGCATGTCAACGTCAATGGCTCTATTTGGAACCGATTTTCAGTTCCGAAGATATTAATCGTCAATTACCGGTAGAAAGCAAACGATACGCGACCATGGATCGAATATGGCGCAAAGTGATGAAACAAGCGGCCGAGCAGCCACAAGTGATCACCCTCTGTCCAGATCCACGCCTGTTGAACAGTTTGCGCGAATGTAACCGATTGTTGGATCAGGTTCAAAAAGGTTTGAGTGAATATCTGGAAACTAAACGTCAATCGTTTCCACGATTCTACTTCTTGTCTGATGATGAACTACTGGAAATTCTATCACAGACCAAAGATCCAACAGCTGTGCAACCGCATTTAAGAAAGTGTTTCGAAAATATTGCCAAGGTAAGCGGTAACGATTGGAAAGTTTTATCTCTGGTAAATCCCAAAGACCGAAAACAAGCTGAATTTATAAAATCGTTCTGTTCTGGTTAGACGTGCTATGCACACGAGCGTCTCTCCCTCAGCCCCCAAAATGAAACGGAATAAGAACATCACTGGAGAACAACACTCAGAGTGTATTCCGTGATCGAGTACGGCGTACTGGAACGACGTGGTGACGCACCAATCAGATGGCATCCTTGACACTTCAATTGGTCGATCGGACACTAACTGTCTGATTCTTCCTAGTCATCCTACCCGGAATCGATTCACTATGAGCGTCGCGAGTGTGCTCGTGATGTGACACGGATTCGTGCGCGGCTTGACGGGTTCTGTAAGCTCCGTCCTAGCAATACCATCACTAAATGACAAATCACGTTTTTAAATTAAGAACGCTGAATTTTCATACAGTTAGCTCAAAGACCGTTTAATGGCACAACACATTTCGGAATGATCTTCCATCTGATGCGGTTTTAAATCAATTATTTACAAATCATATTGTATTGTATTGTGTATAACTTTTGCAAGCACTGGAGCTCACATTTCAGTTAAAAAGCATACACGCCAACCGTCACAATGTACATAATCAACGGGGAGAAAAGTTTTCACAGGCATGAACACATTCATAATCCAAGGTTAAGACAAAGTTCACTCA